TTTTAAGCACAAAAAGAGAGAAGATACACAGAGAGAAGACAATGGGGGGGAGGGTTTGGAGTCTAAAACACATTTTAAACCCACACATATTACAACAACACATTTTAAACCAAGCAACTTTTAAACAAAACACATTTTGAAACAAACCAAGCCACTTTAAAACAAAACACATTTTAAACCAAACCAAGCACCTTTTAAACCCACCCACCAACACTTTTTAAAACAAAAGAGAGGTCACTTAGTTTTAGAGCCCAGCTGCCAGGCAGACCTTTGCAAACAGTTTTCTGATTTTAAAACCATCAACCAGCACAGAAACATAGCCCCCCACCTAGCCACCTAGCCCAACCCCAAGCTGCAAAACCCCTGTACAGTAAATACAGTGTACTCACCCAGAACAGGCAGTCTTTCTGTTTTAAAAAAGAAAGTCAAAAATCCAAAAATAAAAAAATAAAAAAGCCCATAAAAATATACAATCCATACAGTACAGTACCAGGCAGTCTGACGTTTTTCTCCATATTCACACTCTCTAACTGCTGGGGCATGTGAGGTAGCAGACAAGCAGCCTCTTCGCTAGCCAACGGTTAACTGAAAGTTCAAATTTCTTGCCTTCCCTGCATTTTTTTCCTTCATAAGTCAAAGCTCCATTCGCAAGTTAAAGCAAAATTTTGCAAATGTAGCCATTTGTAACTCAAAATGTTTGTAGGTTGGGACGTTGGTAAGTCAAGGCACCACTGTATCTTATTATCCTCTGGCTCCACCTAACTATAATATAGAGATGGTAATATTACCTAACTTTACAAGGCTATCCCATGGATTATTGAAATGATGCATCAGAATGTATTGTGTACTTATAAAACTCACTGTGAAGAAGATAGGTCTTATTTAGAAGAAGGTGGCTTCTCCACTGACAGAAGTTCCTGTAGATCCAATGCGCTATTGTTGATATTATTAATCCTGCCATCATCACCATTGCCATCCATGGTGTATCTGTTACCACTATAGAGAAACTTAAAAGACAACGGCCATCTGATACTCTAGAAAATGCAGTCTAGAGATCTAAGGGAATGAATTTGAAGACTGGAGTGCCTGGGATTAATCAATAACACTAGACAGATGGCTCTGCAGGTGGGTCTTTCCATCCTGAAAATATTAAGATTACAAAGTGCACAGCAGGCAACGTTGTTGTATCAGTGGTCATGCAAGCTGGGAGAATTAAAAGCTTCCTCTCAAGATTCAACTTGTTGATACAAAACTAACAATGTTGTTCTCCAGCAACTGACAAGGAAAGGAAAAAGTCAATGAGGATTTAATTTGCCCTTTGTGTAATGTCATATATACCAGCTCAGACGGAGGTCAAAAATATGACAGTAAAGTCACATGTCTGCTACAGATCAAAGAAGATGATTTACTGAAGCTATGAAGTGATCATAGCTATGAAGTCTTTTGACAATTCTGTAATAAGGATACATCACTGTTCAGTCATATTTCAAAATACAAAGACATTCTTTTCAATACGTGATGCCTTGTGCAGAAAACACCAGGGCATTGCTTGTGTTATCGACAAACGGAATTTTGTATCAGTATGACAGTCAGTAAGGACTGATCTTATTAAAATATGCATGCGAGGAAGACAGGGACATGGGTGCCCCTGTTGGTAATCCATCAAGCTCTGACCCAAGACCCAGGAAAGTGGGAAACAAATGGAGGCTTATGAGGTCATGTCAGTCCTAGAGATTGGAGGATACCCTGTAAGAGAGAAGGAGGAGTTGTTTTGCCCCAGCGCGTGGCAGGCATGAAGGCTGCTCTGCCACCAGATGTGAAGCGAGAGAAAGGGGCACCAAAAGAAGAAGAAACACAGTGTCAATCCAAGCCTGGAGAGGGGGGCTGATCTGAGGAGGAGCCCCCAGTGGAACCTACAGGGAAACATCCAGAGGCATGTCCCTAGAAGGAAGGACAAGATGGCTCTGGAGAGGAAAGGCAAGGAGATGCTGTAGAACCGGGAGCATCAGAGACGGATGCCCTCAGAGGACTGGGAGAAGAGGTCCTCAAGGTAGGGAATGGGAATATATCTGGGAGGATTGGTCTGGGACCTACGAGTTGTAGGAGTGTCTTGGAAAAAATCCAGAACCCCCAGGGGAGTAGAGATATCTTTATAAAGAAGACACCTGGAGAGGGGTTCTGTCCAGTTAGGGTCCCCAAGGGAGAAAGGGAAAAACATAAACTTCCTTACTGACTGTCATACTGGGGCAAATATGAGAGGTGGACTGTGAGGAAAGCAGGAAAATTACCTCCATGCAGAGCTAACACAGCTGCACAAAGAAACAGTGAGAGTGCCAGCACTGGGAGAATGCAGGAAAGAACTCCAGAAACCGGGATCCGCATGATGCCCCAGAGCTTCCCATGCCTGTCCTCACTGTGGTCATACCAACCCTCACTACTAGGAGCAGTCCAAACAGCAAGGAAGCCCCAGACCGGGGGCTTCTGAGACATTTTTTTTTACTAGGAATCCAATGTCAAGAACTGGACTCACCAGACAAACTGGCTCTCTCTTGCTGAACAGGACCAGAAGGCAGGAGACTGCTAAAAGACCTTGGGCCAGTTCCAGAAACTAGGACCAAGGACCCCAGGGTGTGTACAGATCCAACTGCTGTTCACCCACTTTCAAGTTCAATGAATCCCATTTTGTTTCATCCTGTTGGTCTGAAATGTATAGATGACAGGATGGAGGAGATATGCCCTGCTGACCAAGTTGCAGTTGATGGGACTCAAAGTGCACATTTCTCCTTACTGGGATGGGGGGGGGGAACTGAAATTTGAAAAAAGAATTTGGATGGCAAAAATAAAAAAAAAATAAAAACTGAGATATCCACACACCCCATCCACCCAGAGGGTTTTAAGTGCTTGCTGCCTAGAAGTCTAGCTTTGAAACTTGTCCTATTCAGCTATGTTTGTGGTGCTGAATTTGGATTGTCTCTTTCTTTCTTCTGACAGACTCTTTTGGGTGAAATCGTGCTGCTTATCCTAGTGAGTCACAACTAGAGGAGGGCCATTGAATCAATCAAACCGATGGAGGAGTTGTCTCACTTATCTCAAATGATTCCAATTTCCAACTGCACAGCACTCTAATGCACTATGGTTTGATGAGGATATTCAGCTTATAATAAATGGTGGGGTAGGCTGCCAAAAATTTAATTTGCCTAGAGCAATGAAAAAAATATACATCTAGATCTATTCATATAAGTTATTCTGTGAAGTTGTGGGGCATGTAAAACTTGTTTATTGCCATTTTACAGATGAAGTTCTCATCTTTACTATAAAAATACGTCTTAGCAAATTCAAAATGATGATTGTCTTCTAGCCTGGTCAGCAGTGCCATAGACACTGCATTTTCCTGAGCTAGAGACGAACTAATTAATAGCAGCAGCATTTATATCCATTAATTTTTGAATTAGATAATATCCTCTTATAGCATCCATTAATTTATATCAAAGAAAGCAAAGAAATTTACCATTGAAGCAAGGCCTGAAATTACACTCTGCCCTTAATGATACTAGCCATTAAGAAACAAACTATCGCATTTTCTGCACTGGACCCTCGACTTACAGATGGCTCCACTTACAGACTTTTCGAGTTACAGGCTTCTCTGGCTGCAAAATTTAGGTTCGACTTGCAGCCGGAGAATTGAACTACAGACCGGGGGAAAAAACCAAAATGGAACAAAAACGGCCGGTTATGGATTAATCGAGGGGGCGTGGTGGCGCTGCGGGCTAAACCGCAGAAGCCTGTGCTGCAGGGTCAGAAGACCAAGCAGTCGTAAGATCGAATCCACGCGACGGAGCCGCTTCGGGCTAAACCGCAGAAGCCTGTGCTGCAGGGTCAGAAGACCAAGCAGTCGTAAGATCAAATCCACGCGACGGAGTGAGTGCCTGTTGCTTGTCCCAGCTCCCACCAACCTAGCGGTTCGAAAGCATGCAAATGCAAGTAGATAGATAGGGACCACTTCGGTGGGAAGGTAACAGCGTTCCGTGTCTAAGTCGCACTGGCCATGTGACCACGGAAGATTGTCTTCGGACAAACGCTGGCTCTATGGCTTGGAAACGGGGATGAGCACCGCCCCCTAGAGTCGAACACGACTGGACAAAAATTGTCAAGGGGAACCTTTACCTTTACCTTATGGATTAATCGGTTTTCAATGCATTGTAGGTCAATGGAACCCCGACCTACAGACTTTTCAAACTGCAGACACCATTCCAATATGGATTAATTCTGTAAGTCAAGGGTCCACTGTATAGCTCTATCCTGGATTCTGTGTCTTGGTCATCTTAGGTCATCGTCTAAGGTATACAAAACGTGAACAAAATATTGGGGACCAACTAATATGAAGCTCTTCTTCTAATAGCAAACTTGGGGCAGAGGAAGGGGAAAGAGAGTACATACAAGAATGTGAAGCAAATGAGAAAGAAAGGTGCCCATGCATTTGGGACAATTGGACTTTTTTTTTTTTTTAAATAGAGCAGTGCCGTCTACCCAAAAGCAATCCAAGAATGCCTGATCATGTCTAGCAGTCACAGAAAAGGGCTACCAGATCTCAAGGTGCTTTTTGAAGCCTCAGGCCCCTCTGGGTCTCCAGGTGGGCAGGCAAACGTGAAGATGGCCCTGGTAAAAAGTGTGTTTTTTACTACTGAGGTGACTTTAGGTCTGCGCATCCATCTTTGCCCATTCTCAACTAGCATTTGGTTAGCTGAGTTCCAGCTGGATTCCAGATTAATTTGTCCAGATTCTCATCTGGCCTATTTCCACAATCAGAGCGGGCCCAGAAGTAGTTTTCACCCTACTCTGATCCCTGCCTTACCTCTGTGACATCACAAGGACCAACTCCTATAGCATAGCATCACAATGTCTCTTATTTTTCTTGTGAACCTCAAGGACTGTGAGGGTGCTAACCTGGCAACCCTGCCACAGAATGTGGAGTGATAATTTCAAAGAAAAATGGAAAATGAGAGAAGAAGAATTGAATTCCCTTTTCAAAGGTAATGAGTGTATTAAAATTCTGAACAGGAGCACTCCTTTTAAGAAGCATTTGCCAAAATGTTTTATTACACGTCTCATATGGATCTGCCTGATAAGGTCTGTGGAGTGACTACAAGACCTCAGAATATGCCCCATAGAACTTAATTAGACATTGGATTGGATTGCACTATTAGTAAAAAAAAAAACAAAAAAAAACTAGGAATAGGAAACATTGAGCAAAATCCTTTTGTGTAAATGGACACTGTGGAAGGTGATGATTTCATTCGGCACAGGTAAAATTTATTTAAATCAATTGAAAGCTTCCTATTTCCCCCCCCCCCTTGAGGTTTTGAGGTTCCCTAGCCTTCCCTTTTGCTTTGGGGAAAATCTTTCAGAGGTTTGGGATGGAAGGGAGTCTTTAATAGTCAAAAATGCCATCAGATTGTCACTGGGTGATATAATAAATCAGGATTTTTTTTCCCTTCAGGAAAACGTAACACCCTAAGGTGTCCAATTTTTCTTGTCTCTGTTTATGCTTTTTACCAGGAGCCAGGCATGCTAGTAAGTAGAGTGATGGACTAACACTCAGTAGACCTGGGTCCAAATCCCCACTTGAGCATGGAAATTCAGTGGTGTGTGTGTGTGTGTGTTTTTACTGGTGAAATCACTCCTTAAACATCACATGTACCTATTAGGACTCCTGTAGGTTGGATGCAACTCAGTAACACATAACTCACATGCCCCTATCCATTCACTAAAATGTGTTTGTTGTATATTTTCCATTGTGCCTGTTTTAGCTATTTGTATTTTGAAAATTCTGTGCAAACATTTCTCTGAAATGCTCCACAACATTCGAAAGGTGCCAGTTTCTAGCACAAGGCATATGTTGTTGCAGAATGAGTCTTGGAAGATGCATACCGTATTTTTCTGTGTATAAGACGCCCCATGTATAAGACGACCCCCCCACACACTTTTCTAACCCAAAATTAAGAAATCTAAGTTGGGCTTAGCAAGTCTAGGGGGAAAGGGATGAAAGCGCTGCAGGATCACTTTGATCTCTGCTTTCTCCCTTCATGCTAAGCCCCGCGGGGCTTTGCAAAACGAGGGGGAAGGGGATGAAAGCAATCCTGCAACTGCACAATTGTTTTGATCCCTTTCCCCCTTATACAGCCAAGGGGTTGCTTTGATTCTTCCCCCTCTCCTTTTGTTCAGCCTCATGGGACTTAGCAAGCAGAGGGGAAAGCAGAGATCAAAGCCCTGCAGGAACAATTTGATCCCTGCTTTCCCCTCCTCTTTTTTTTGTACTCTGCTCAGGTTACTTCTGTGTATAAGATGACCCTCAATTTTTAGACGGAAAATTTGTAGACAAAAGTGTAGTCTTATACATGGAAAAATATGGTACATTTGTTGAGAACTATGACTGCATTGAAAATCATTCCCATTCCTTTAATAAGCTTTAGGAACAGCATACTTCTAAAATCTGTTTCAGATAAGTCAGGAAACAGCATGTTGTAATAAAGGGAAGTGGTTTAAATTAATAGTTCAGTGTGGAACTACGGCATACAAGTAATAAATAGATGGAAGGTTGTAATCCTTATATTTGCTTGATATATCAATGGCCTATAATCCTTATATTTGCTTGATATATCAATGGCCTATTACCCCAGAGAGAGATGCATGCTTAAGCCCTTTGAATACTATACACTTAGGCATGCCTCACTTTGCACTGGATTTAGGCCTTTTTTAAAAAAAAAAAAAAAGACTTCTAAGTAAAGCATACCAAAAAAGAACTATTCAAATTAAGATTATTGTTATTGGCAATGTCAGTGGTTTTCCTGTGTTGCTGTTTTTTTTTATCCATTTCAAATACGATGAAATCCTCCTAATTTAAAGTCTCCCTCCACATTGTTCGGCTCACATGAGAACAAAGAGAGAAAGGACATTCAGCTGATACACAAAGGACAGCCTGCATTCAGTGAGCACTGGCTTTAGTCACAACAGCTGTGAAGAGATTAAGGCAGAGCAGAGAAAGAAATCCCACAAGAAGCGTGCCTGAAACCCCTGCAGAAAGGAGATATGCAAGGCTGATCCCAGGCCATACACGATCCTCCCAAGTAAGTTCCACAGGGCGAGAAGGATTCAGATCATCACAACTCTCTTTTAATTTCACGTCTTTCATTCCTTTAGGAGCAAAATGCTGCAGGAAGAACAGAAAAGAATCACTGTAGCAAGTTCTGATCTGCAAATGTGTAGTGGCTGTGTAAAAGCATTTCTTGTTATGTGCCATCAAGTCATTTGAGACTGACAATGACCCTAATAGGATTTGTTAGGTACATGAGAGGTTCATGGAGTGGTACACCACTCTGGCTATCAAACCCTTCCCAGGATTATCTAGGCCTAAATTATTTAGATTTGGTCTACCATTTCTTCCTCCTTCTGGTGGTGTTCTGGAAGCATGCCGCTTGTCTACACAGGCTGCCTCTCCCTCTTATACAGTATATATGTAACCAGTCACATGTTCCTTTGTGGAGTGGTTGTGAAAGGATCCTCGTGACAGGTAATGCTATTTGGGAGCTTTATTTGGGGTTTTTACACAATAAACAACTTTTTCTTGTTATTCCTATCACGTTTCTTTGGGAAGGTCACACGGAAAAGACATTTTGATCTTATTTGTTTGATTTTTAATGGTTTTTAAAATACAAATAATGAAAATAACTAAAAAGTAATGTCTGTAGCATGTTGACAATGCATTATTCTTAGTAAGTAATGAGTCGTCCTAATGAATTAACTCAAAAATTAATAAGTAATTGTTTACCTGTTTAAAATTTTTCAATCACATGTAGGTCAGCATAGGGCTTATCTCTGTAGCCCAGCTTAGTCCTGACCTCCAAATGTATTCATAGTACAGTAGTGGCCATGTAATGTTATGGCATTCTGAATTAAAGCATCGAGCTGTAAGTTGTTTGGAGGTGGTGGCGAGTTTTGGTACATTGTTTTATTTGTTTTGGCTTTTCTACTAAGAAACTTAGTTTTCTTTGGAATGAAAACCAGCCGTGTAAATCCTTTGGTTGATAGCAAATATATAATATATTTTGTCTTGTCAAGGAGAAAAGTATAGCACTCAAACAATTGCCTCACTATAAAACTTTGTAACACACCTCAGTAGTTTGAGTTTGTGGTAATCCATCACAGCTGACATTTATTCTTTAAAGGGTTAATTATAGTGTGAAATCATATCAGGAAAAAAAGCAAAAGAAAAATTAAGTCCACATAGCTACTTCTTCAGACGTGTCCATAAAAGTTCACATTAAAATATAACTGTTAGTCTTTAAGGTGCCACAACATTTTTGTTTTATTTGTTTCAAAATTTTTGTCTGTTTTTGCATGATTGGTTAGCACAGACCAACACATCTGGGTATCAAGGTATAAATTGCTGCATTGTTGAAATGACTGCAGGCAACATCAACTTGGCTGTTTGTACAAGCCATTGCTTCTATGCACAAAAATTCAAGAGTTTTTGAAAACATAACTTTTTGAAAAAAGGGGAAAAATTCAGTTATAGAGAAATGAAACTTACAGCAAAGAAAAAGCTGTAGATTCAAATATTTTAAAATACCTGAAAACAGATCTTCAGTTGCAGGGAAATATTAAGTCAAATTTGAATCCAAAAAATGCAGGTGCATAAAAAGTACAACAAAATATAAAAAGCATATTTTAATTTTATTGTAAAAATACAGGGGCTTATAGCCTCAAAAGGCACAATAAAAAAGCAGAATACAGTGGTGCCACGCAAGACAAGCACTCCGTTTTACGATGAAATTGCATAACGACGTAATTTTTGCGATCGCAAAAGCGATCTCAAAATGATGTTTCCTATGGGAGAATTTCGCTTTGCGATGATCGGTTCCCTGCTTCGGGAACCGATTCTCACAAAACGACAATTTTCCTACAGCGGATCGGTGGCTTCAAAATGGCTGCTGGGTTAAAAAAATGGCCGCCCACTGTTTTCTGGGATGGATTCCTCGCTGCACGGGCAGCGAAAATGGCCACGCTATGGAGGATCTTTGCTGGACGGTGAGTTTCAAGCCCATAGGAATGCATTAATCAGGTTTTAATGCGTTTCTATGGGCTTTTTAATTTCGCTTTATGATGTTTTCGTTCTACAGCGATTTCGCTGGAACGAATTAACATCATAATGCGAGGCACCACTGTATTTCTTATAATATCAAAGTTTATGAAAGTAAAATATATTTCTTTTGACAAATCCAAACACAAAAGAAAAATAGCATAAGTGATCACCCAGCCATCTGTCCATACTCCAAATATTGCACTGGAGTTCAAGAAACATATATATAAATCAATATGCTACAAAAAAATGCATAAATACATTCCCACAAAAATGACATTAAAATAGATTGTATTAGAAAAAAATGTTAGAAATATGCGTATATTAGAATAAAATGCATGTACTGGGAAATGGTCACACACATATATATTGTTTCCAAATTACCTTTAAAATGTCCAAAGTTTGAGATAGACTGTATAATTTAGGATGAATTGGACCTAATTTTGGAAAAAATGAGCATTGGAGAAGAACTATTGACTATTTTCTTCTCTTCATAAATAGAACGCCAGACTGTGTACATACCCCTAAAGGCTTTTTACTCAAAGATGGCATATTCACAGGAAACAAATATTAAACTGATAAGGAGAAAAATAGGATGAACCGTGGATTTTTAATTTTTGTCATGTGTTTTCTCTTCTTGTTGTGTTCTCTAGGCTGAACCTGGGCAAAAAGTTGCACCAGAAGCAATTCTGATGGTGCTAGTCAACTTTCCACCCCAAGCCCTAGCGATTTGTGTTTCCCCTCTTATGAGAAGGCAGGCTGGGTACCAATCTGCAGCAGAAATCTTGTTTACAACCACCCTGGTGGTGGCAATTTTTGGAAATTAAAAACCTCCCATGTAGCCCCCAAGTGGCTTCCCCAGGGATCCCACAGGAGTCTCAGGACCCTTAGAACGGTGGTGGTGGTGGTGATGAGATTTAGAAATTGCCTATTTCTGGAAAATCCCTGCAGCCAAGGATGTCATCAGCCTTATACAACATAAATGATGGATTTCAGCTTGTTTGCCTTAAACAGCCATGGACCAGGGCCACTGGACATCCTTAGCATTAACCAAAGTTTTAACCATCTTCAGCAAACGTTATCAGAATAGCAACAGAACAGCTGATATTACACCATGAAGTGGCCTGCTGTCATTATAAAAGGAACATTTGCTCCCTAAATAGTTTTTGTGTTGTGTCGTAGGGCTGCTGAAAGATGCACCAGGATCCTTCCCAGATACATATTTTAAGAGGGCTGTAGTAGAGAGTACTACTGCCGTGTGACAGTCGGAAGTCTCTGAGACTTTCCTCTGATGATGTAACATACTACTGGAGTGAAATAGCTGTAGAAGTGTAGCCATCTGTTCTAATTTAAGCATCCCAAGGTCTAAGAAAGGCATTGTTAATTAGAATGTTTTACAACCTCAACATGAAAGTCTGAGGATAATATAAATAAACATCTTCTCATATTGCCAACAAGCTGGCTGAAGGTCAAGAGTTTTGAGATTTGTAGTTCAGGGTTCAACACTGGAAAAGAGAATGCTATGGGTGTCATGCTACAATTATATGAAACTGTAACTGGCTATTCGTGTACTAGCAGATGTATTTCCTGAGTGGCTGCATTTTATGGGCATCTTCTGTTCTTCCATCAAGCCTTGGTGTGAATAAAATATTTATACATTTCATAAATATTTATAGAAGCCTAAATGAGAACTCTCTGGAACCTCTTTGCAGAACAAAACAATACTTCTGAAGGGGACTCCACAACTTTTTAGTACCTGGCAGAAATTAGACCCTCCACATTGCGTTTAAATATTTTCCAAGCTCAGATGACTTGGATATGAGGCACAGCTCCATTCTGCCTAGTTGTGAAGCCCTTCCTTATCGCTGTGAAGTGAAGTTAGTGGACTTTTCTGATCTTTTATTTCCTTAATTGGCTGCTACAATTCTCTCTAAGTAGGTTCAAACACATTCATTTAAGAACAACAAAAAAAGATGCACAATTGTGCAAGTCTTCCTTTGAAGAACATCCTTTTCTTTTGTGGAGTCATATCAGTTGGTTCTCACAAATATAAATTACGAGCTGTAATAGGTCATATTCTGCCTTGCTTGCAAAGGGCTTGTGTTCTAATTTAAATAGACAATTCCAGTCCATTCTTCAGCAGAGTTGCTACATTATGAATAGATCCATCATCTTAGGACAGAATGTACAGCATGTACAGCATCTGCTTTTTAATATCCTTGCATTTGCTTTTCTAGACATTCTGCTGCCGCCATTGTTTGCTACCAAAAAAGGGGATCTTGGATAGAAGAATCTATACTACTACCAACCCTTCAGTGTAGGATACTATAACTCAATCACTCCTGATAATTGCAAAGTATCTCCAGTGAATATCTATGTGCAAAGTATGCAATAGGAAGTTCAGTTCAAGCATTTCCTCAATATAAACGATATCTGCTTCTGATACAGCCATGTGGTCTGGTTTACACATCACACTAAACTATGGTTTAGTATCATGACAAACAGCAATTGGGTAAGGATTGACTTCTGTTCTAACTGTGTTTGTGGTCTCCCTTCAAAACTTTGGAATGAGGTGCTTTCTCTGCTCAAGTCACACGCCACACATGCTCTGGATGTGTGAGACCCTCTCTTCCTCTAGCACACTACCAAAGAAGGGTGAAAACTTTCCATTTTCTTTTCTTTCCACATTAGGTCCCAATCTGGACAAACTGCAGTTAGTATGATTTGAGCCAATAAGCCAATTTCAGACATAATTTACTATTATGGCTGGTCTTCCAAATCATAGCAGAATGTTCTTTCAAATGAGGTGTTTGTGCCACCTTGTTTTCCCCCTTCCTTTGTTTCATTTGTGCTGAAGGAGTGTAGGCTTTACCTAGACATACTGGGATTCACACCCAGAACCTGTTCGTCTCCCCACCCCAACTCCTTTTCTGGAGTTATGCAAACTACAAAGGAGACACTGCTCTTACTCCTGCATAGATATGCATGATATTGTAAGGACCAACAATCTGCTCTCTATTCAATAACTTTAATGCCAACATTAGGGATTCTACTCCCTGTACCAGTGCTAATTTGCCTGCGTGCTCATGTTTTCAAATTCCTGCTGCAAAGCGTTAGGCTGGAAAAGGAATGCACATGTACATATTGTACTTCCTTGAGGTAGAACCATGGCAAAGATTAGATAGCCACCAATCTCACAGCAAATTGCCACATGCCAAACAAACTTACTGCCACTTCATCTTTTCCTTCCTTTGCTTTCTCTGAAGGAAGGGAGGGAGGGAGGATTGTTGGTTGCTGATTTAAACTTAGTGCCTCCTTTCCCACTGCCATGGCTACAGCATGGTGGGCAGGAAGCATGGTGTGTGGGTATGTGTCCCTTTATGCCATAACCCTTGGCAACAGGAACTAAAAAAGGCAGGCAAGCAAGCCAAGAGCTGGAATGTCTCCACCTCTTCCCTCAGAACTAAACAAACAAACAAACAAACAGGGGAGTTGAAGAGGTAAATATTTTTAATTGTTACATTTTTATCTACCTCCCCTCAAAAAACATATGTACAAGGGTACCTCTTCCTTCCGTGATTCTCTTCCCCTCATTTTATCTTCAGTAACATTTTTGTGAATAGTTTGATCAACAATCAAACTCCAATACTGCACCTTTCAGAATGGGAGTGATGTCTTTCTTTATTCCTTCCTCCATGGAACTAATCTGGGATCTGGCAGTCTAAAAGCAATAATAATTCCAGATACTGGGAACAAACCAAAAGGGGCATTAAATGAACACAGTCTTTCTTAAACCAACCTATGACTGTTTGGACAGATCTGAAGGCTATATTGTTCCCCCTACACTCATGGATATTGATACACTGCATTTATGGTTTAATAATATATTTTACCTTTTCTGAGCATTAGTACTGCTCCATCTTTAATATTTTGTTTTAACGATGTAAGCCACCTTGGGTCTTCTCTTAGGAGAAAGGCGGGGCAAAAATACTTCAAATAAATAAAATAAATAAAGAGAAGACGAGGTCTGGGAATTCACAAAGGAATGAACAAACACCCTGTACATACTAAGGAAAGAGGAATGTCATATAGGTGATAGGGAAAATATCAATATCATCAATGCAGAACTAAGGTCTTTGAGTGAGGGGAAATGCTCTATCTGGAAAAGCACTAATTATCATTATTTATTTAGACAACCATATTCTTTGGTCATCATATTTTGGGATACATGGAAAATAATATTCTATATGAAAGAACCTGAATTGTGAGAATTTCTGCCCATAACAGTGGAAAACTGCATTCTCTCTCATTTTAAAAACACATTCTCCAGAAATAAAGAATGAGTTAATATAGAAGATTAGATGAAAATAAATGTCTTCCCAACAACATTGGGGAAGATAACATTCTCTAGGTAGGTTGTTCAAGTGATTTCATTTTCAGAAGGAGAGATGGAGCGTTCACTGTTATATATAAGGCAGCCCGAGAGCTCCATCCACCAATGTTAAAAAGCTAGGAAAGCATGGTCAACAACTATCTTGTTTTCTATACTGTTCCTGTACAATGGCGCTAGGTCATGAGGCTGCAGGTTGGCCATGAACCTGCATTTCTAATTGTGTAGCATCCAGGTTGCTAAAAACTATGCCTCGGCTTTTTGAGGTTTGATATAAAAGCCCTTAGAAAACCTTATAAATAACATCCTTTCCAAAGTTCTTAAGGAATATTTTCATCTCCACCCACTTTGAAACTCCCTATGTTCACCTGGGAAGAAAATTTGGCAAAGTCCTAACCATGAATCCTGACAAATCCCTAGAACCAGCTATCGTATTTCATCCCCACAAGCAGTTATCTTATTTTCCTCTAGCTAAGCTGGACAAGAAACCTTTCAGCTCTGAAATCATACTTTCCCCCGGTTGGTAGATGAACACCCAGTCCAGTTTTGTAAGCCTTTGAGGGGGGGTAAAGGCACAATTACCAGATTTTTAAGATAAGAAGCATTTAAAATATCAACTATCACATTTTGTATTCCTAGGGCTGGAGAAGAGTCTTGGGATCTTAAAGCAGTGGCTCCCACATTTATTTGATTGGATACTGCTGGATTACAACCCCCAGCGTCCAAAATCACTGACCATTCTGCCCAGTAATTCTGGAAGCTGAAGTCCAACATCAGTTATGTTTGAAATGGAATCGTTCCTTTGGTAGGATATTTTTTTCTTTCACTTACAGTCCTCAGTTATGTGCTGAAGCAAAGAAAATGTAGCAATTTTTTTAAAAAGCCAATGCCATATCAGCAAACACTTTAGTGTGCGATGCATGTTTTTCACTGTGATTTCCTTTGACATGGATTTAACTGAGTAGGGGAGCATACTTCCAGCAAGTCATGATGTGATTTATCAGTGTGACTACCATTATTCTCAAGACAAGTTGAACAGCTAATGAGCAGTTCTGTGGAAACATATCCCGCAGTATCCTCAATAAAAGCAAGAGTATTGAGCCAACTGCCAGTGGTGCACATCAGGAAAGCCTTCATAGAGAATGTTTCACAACTTTCTTACTTATGGAGCAGGACTGTTCAATAAAAACTGGAAAGAGACAAGCATGTTGTTTATGTTGTTTGCAAGTACGTTGAAGAGTACATTGTCTCAATTAACAGGTATCCTAGTGATCAGTGTAAAAACTGGAAAAAAAATACAATAAACAAAAACTAAACAATTCTGTCAGGAAACATAAAATTAAAGAATACTTACAAATGGACAAACGTGTAAGTACACAATGAATTTTACAGAATAAGGAGTGTGCCAAAAATAAGTGCTATGTTAGTGTCTTTAGAAGAGACTATTAACTAAACATCATTAATTATGATCCCATACTTGGAGGAATTGGAAGAAAAATATTCAGTGGGCTACACTGTAAAATAATGAATTATGAACTTCAATCTGATGTTGAAAATCAGGGCTGTGAGATTTTTTAAACAGCATTTTTCTTCCTTCCAAGATGGAAATCCAGACTTACCCAGGGTCCTGTGTTGTGACTGATTGGTGCGGCTCCCAGGCTGCATGATTGTGGCAGCCATGTGGCAGCATCAGTGGAAGGATGCTGAGTGCTCACCCACTGGCCTGGACCAGCTGGGATAAGCCAGAGTGACAAAGGGGACCAGGTCAGCGGGTTGGTGGACTGGACGAGATGGAGTTGCACCCCAGCCCGCCCAGCAGAGCTTAAAAAAAGGTAGCCGGAGCCTTCCAAGCCCCACTTCCTTGGAGCAGCATTTCCTTTCCCTCCCCTTTCTTTGGACATGCTGGTAGGGACCTGCATGGCCTGGTTGGTATGGAATCCCTAAAAGGGAATCCCTAAAAGGGAATCGGGTGGAGGCAGGGTCTGTCCTGGCTCAGGTGAGACAGATTGCACCTGTCCCTGGATGGCAAGGAGCCAAAGTGTGACATACATCCGTGTGGCCTCCAGAAATTGGTGAGTCCAAGTGGTCTCACAAGGTCCTGTTGAGATTGTGGTGCCCCGTGAGGGGACAGTTGGGTCTCCCAATGAGCAGGATCCAACCGAATGCTTGCCAGTTTTAACTGTTGCTATAATTAATAAAAAGGTGTGGCCTTTTTACTTCACTTATGGTGTTGTTGTTTTTTTAAGTGACTAAGGCCTGCTTAGCAGTAAGCCCACAATTATATCCCTGATTTGTGGGGGCAGTAAATATGAATGAAAATATTCAATATTCCCTGACAGGATTTTTTGTGTTGTTATTAAAATAACGTATGGCTTGTCGTTGTTGCTGTGTGTTTTTTGATCAACTGAAAAACAATGTTTGCTCATTTCTGATACAGTCAGCAGGGAACAGACCTGGAAAGCACCAAAAGAGGAAGTTCTGATGTTAAGTTCTCCAGAAGGCCTCCCAGGAAGCACAAGCAACTAAGAAGCCCGCAAAACAGCACATCTCTTTACTTAAGAAGACTGTGCATCAGGGAATCAGTGACACCTTGCAGTGTTGTGCTCAGCAGTTCTGAATATATCGTGTGAAAGAGGGAGGAAAGCATTTGTCCCTTTTTAGGGAAACAGAGAGCTTCTGAAAAATTTAGGCAAAGGACTACGCTATGTGTCAAAATTTTGGATTGGCTTTTAAAAAAAAAAACTGATTCACAGTCAACCAAAAGTGACCACATGAGATCCCAACATGATCACACCTATTATACAATCCCCAATCCATCTGGGAGCATATCAGGGAAAGAGGAAAATCAGAAGAGTGGCAGTGAAGCAGCAGAAGGGAAACCCCTTTGGTGAATAGCAAGGAGCTGCCAAAAGATTCAGTACAGAGGGGTTGCTAAATATCTCAGCACCTAAGATACAGGTCCTCAGTCTCCCACTCCACACAGGCGTGTGAATGGATTCAATCCTATGAAAAATGTAAAAACTGACACCTGGATAGTTCTGAAAATGTACCACAGAGGAACAACTGTTGTTTGAGGTAGAATTCATCCTTACATTCTCTGCCTATCCATGTTAAACTGACAAAAGGATTAAAATGTGCTCCCTTTCCAGATTGGCCAATTTATAAAACTGTTGTGTTAATAAATGCATCATAGTTTTCCATCTTCTTTCCTAGCATGAAGAATCATATATTATATAGATAGAAACCTATATCCCAAGCCTTTTGTCTATGTCAGATTTCAATAGACGTTGATCATTATGTTTAAAATACCCAGGATTATTTTGAAAGTGTTATAAACCAATTCATATATTTCCCCCTCCCCTTATTCTATGACTGAATGAATCTACATTTGATTTTAGTTCTAAAATACCATGTCACACCACATCACTGAGCCCTGAAAAAACATGCACAATTCAATTCTGTCTTTTCAGATCAAATGGAGAATTCCATCACCAATATAGCCTTATCAGTTATAAGGGGCCTTTGAATTTGTGTTTTTTCCCTCAGCCTACCAGACAAAGCATATAAAATGGTTACTGATCAGTGCCACAGAGGTGATAAAGGATATAATGTTAAAGACATTGTATGTTTTTTGTTTTAAAGAATGGTTCAGAGGATATGTAAGATAAAGCAAGTCCGTGGCTGCCTGACATTTACTTATGTGACCACAAGGCTCAATTTAAATGAGGTAATGGTCTTCATTGAAGACGTCTTTCCTTGGTACGCAACTACCCACCATCCATTCTACTCTTCTGCTTCCACCTGCCAGAGCATTTTCTGGTAAAGGATATAATGTTAAAGACGTTGTATGTTGTATGTTTTTTTGTTTTAAAGAATGGTTTAGAGGCTATGTAAGATAAAGCAAGTCCGTGGCTGCCTGACATTTACTTATGTGACCACAAGGCTCAATTTAAATGAGGTAATGGTCTTCATTGAAGACGTCTTTCCTTGGTACGCAACTACCCACCATCCATTCTACTCTTCTGCTTCCACCTGCCAGAGCATTTTCTGTTACTGATAGGGAAGCTCCCAAACCATGCTGTACGTACTTGAATAAAGAACATATAGATAGGGCTGGGTTGCCTGTACCCTTTAGGAGACACTCCAGCCTGTTCCATCCACAAATCTGTGACATCATCTTTGCATTTCCAGACATGAATCCTGCAAATTGGGGTGGAGGGCGCAAATGGAAATGGCTATGAGCTTGCAGGGCTCTCCAATGAATCCTGCAAATTGGGGTGGAGGACACAAATGGAAATGGCTATGAGCTTGCAGGGCTGTGGAGCATCATCAGTTTAGGGGACACTGTAGACTTTAAACACTGAGGCCAAAATCCTACTGAGAATGTATGCTAGTATAAAAGAAATTATGTAATGTATTCACGAAAATTATGTAAGCTACCATGGTGAATTGATACTCATTAACAAGGTGGTGTTCACATGGTGTGCACCTTCTTAGGTGTACAGTCCAGTCACCTTCAAAATTACCTTTGCACTTGAATAAGGAAAGGTAGAATGAGCCACATCTTTACTGCCCAGTCCCCTCACATCATTGGATCCTGCACAGATAAAGTTCTAGCTTATTAGGTTACTTGACACCCCTTAACTGAGGACTTCTTGCCTGGCTATTATTTGCAGCAAGGAAAAAAGAAGAAGGGAAAATAGGCTCGGGGGGGACAGGTGTACAGTCCAGTTACCTTCGCACTTGAATAAGTGCCACATCTTTACTGCCCAGTCCCCTCACGATCCTGCACAGATAAAGTTCTAGCTTATTAGGTTACTTGACACCCCTTAACTGAGGACTTCTTGCCTGGCTATTATTTGCAGCAAGGAAAAAAGAAGAAGGGAAAATAGGCTCGGGGGGGAAAGCCTCATGGTTTGAGGAGACTGATAGAAGAAGGGTGGCTTCCTTCAGCATCCTGTGCCACAAAAGCCATGAAGCATTGGATTATATTTGCACCAAAAATGAGAATTAAAATCATGTTGCAGAAGTGAGAAAAGATAGAGCCTAATTGTATAGCCATACAACAATCATGTTTCTACAATCGTACAGAAACACACTCCTAACAAAGAATAAGGAGAACAATGTATTCACAAAGGCTTTCACAGCCAGGATCTAATGGTTGTTGTGGGTTTTTCGGACTCTTTGGCTGTGTTCTGAAGGTTGTTCTTCCTAACATTTCACCAGTCTCTGTGGCCGGCATCTTCAGAGGACAGCACTCTGTGCTCTGGTGAAGTTTGCTTGGGAGTTGAGTATATAAGGAGAACAAATATGAAAAGAAATAGTCCAAACTAGATCCACGTTATCCAAACAGCAGTTCAAGTCTTCATCTTCGCCTGAAAGCTCTATGAAATTTCTGGTGGAATGATTGTCAAGCAATCAATCAATTAGTCTCTGCCTCTCTGTGTCTCTCTGTCACTGTCTCATGGGATCCAGTTGTTTCGCAACTTCTCCTTGATCATCAACAATTCATGGCTCAACTACACACAGTATTTTCTTCATGTTTATTGAGGTTGATTCATAGTTTTAAAATGACAACTCCTGACAGTTTCTGCTGAGGATATCATTGTAATAGTCCCTACAGGAAATGATTGATTGCACTACTGCAGGAATCTATTCTGCATATCATTTTAAACCAGAACACCAGAACCCCCAATTTCTCTGCCACTTCCTCCCTCCTTGGCCCCATTTCCTCCCTTTGTATTTGCCCTCCATTGCTCTACCACCAGCTCTGAAGATACAGTAACGTGGCTTAGTCTCAATCATACATACACCAGTTTGGTTCACACAGAACACCTTTAAATAAAGCACAGACCCTGAACCTATCAGTTCTGGCTAACCATTCAGACACCTGAACCTATCAGGTTGGTACTGACACACAGTAGTACCCTGTCTGACACACAGACTCCCACACCAGCTTCTTCTCTCTTCCCTTCTTCACATAAGCTCCACATATATATACAGTACAGCCCCTCCTCCTGATGTCCCGCCTTCCACTCCCCATAGGATGGAACTTTCCCTCCAACCCATGACAGACAGGTAACATCAGTGCTGTATGTAACAACCAGAACACCCAATTTCTCTGCCACTTCCTCCCTCCTTGGCCCCATTTCCTCCCTTTGTATTTGCCCTCCATTGCTCTACCACCAGCTCTGAGTTGTGGCCCTGACCCCTGATAATCTTCCTCTCTTTCTCCCTTGCTCACACTCATCCTCCCTTCCTTTCTCCCTCCCAAGCTCTCATCTTCCCAGGTTCAATTCATGTTTCCAGCAGTCCAGTGCTCATGGTGACTCCCTCCATTACCAGGACTGTGAAGGTTCAGGGCCAGTCAGGAAGAGGCTACCAGCAGATGTCTCTCTCCCAAAGTATCTGGAGCGTCTTTGATCAAGGGAAAGGGAGGTAGGCAAAAGGAGAAGCAGGTTCACCCAGATGACAGCAGTGGAGGATGTATCAAGACTGTGGGAAGTCATCCCCGCCTCATCCTATCACTGCTCTCAGCTAATTGCAATGGGAAGGTCCCTAGTAAGCCATCACCCTCTGCTGTCCAGGACTATTGCCATGGATGCTGTGGCACCAACCTCTCCAACTCACCAAGTGATACAAAGGACTTGGTGATCACACATGCCAGAAAGCAGAGAAAAGTGATCCCAGCTGGATCAGAGCACAATGAAGCCAACACTGGTAGCTGAAGAAAAAGAGATTCCTCACTGAAAAGAGATGGTTTCCCACTGGGCTTCTTCATCTGATGTCATCGATTCACCATTTTTTAAAAATTTGATTTCATCTGTGCCAAATGCAATCCAAATTGTAAAATGACCACTATAGATGCCTCCTCAGTTTACTGTATTACTTTCTATTCCCTCTTTCCCCAACTCAAATTGCTGATCATCATTCTAACCTTACAAAGAGTAAATGGGATATGAAGTAGGATGAATGGAAGCTCCTTGCTCCACCCTGCTGTCACTCTGAACTTTTACAAATCCTCCTGTTTCAGTCTCATTTTGCACATTTATCTGAAGATGATGCATACGCCTCATTAACAGCATTCAACAATTTCATTTGAGGGTAATGAGTAACATCGAAACTTATTCAAAGGTTGCTTGTTGGTTAAATTCATTGCCTCATCAACCCTTCTGCACATTGCAACAGCTCTATTGCTTATGCTCAGAGTAACAGGAAGCCACAGTTTGCATAAGAGCTACAAGGAAGGCTGTGGGACCTTAAGCACTAACAAGCTTTCAGGGCCTGCAGGCCACTTCTGCAGATGCACGGGCTTTTGTCTGTGAAAGCTGAGGCCAAACGAAACTTGTCAGGTTTTGTTTCTTTTGCCACAAGACTCCTTGTTCTTACCGCCTCTGACTATTACCATTTGGCATCTCAGTTTCATTCATACTTAGTGAGGAAGAGCAGGCAAGAATGCAACTTTCCAAAGATCTCATATCTCCAAGCACAGGAATGTTACTCTACCCAGAATATGTGTTGTTTGAGTTCCAGTGGCAGAGGAACAAGGAAAGGACGCAACAAACTCTTTGTTATCTCCTGAGGAATTTTTTTTAAATTTTCACCACTTTGTAGACTGAAGGATTTTATTGTAGATAAATGTTTGTGGGATGTAGGAAATTGGAAGACCTTTGTGGCCATCTGCTGTCTAATGCTGTCTATAAGTCTGTTGTTGTGGGTATGTCTGTCTCGTGAATGCAGCTATTACTCAGATAACAGCCTCGTTTGTTGTGTGCCCTCAGCACACAACCAGAGCACTCTGTCCCCACCCTTTCATCTCTGTTTCCACAACTGTTTTACATAAAGAGGATATCAAAATGGGAAATGACCCCACTATTCACAGGGGTTTCCTTCATGAATTAGAACCCTGGCCACCATGTTCCAATTTATGTGTAGAGCTCCAATAGATGCTAGAGGCTCTCCCATTCAGACTTTTTTTACCCAATATGTGTAAAAAAGCAACAAAAATAAGAAGGAGAACAAAGGTGCTCCCTCTGTGTGGTGTGTATATCCACCATATAACACCTGGATAAGGCTGTAATTCTACCCTAACAGCTCAGTAACTTTCCCTGCCATTGAAATTTCAACTCATT